CCCCAGGGGGGATGGCCATGCTGCAATCCCCTCTTCTCCATTCTCCTCTTGGGATCTTGGGCACACACGCACATGCGCCCGGCGTGAGTTTTAAGCCACCGGGTCCAGGACTCGAACTGTGGTCAACTACATGGGAGTCCAGCGACATAGCCATTAATGCTAACTGCTGGTCCCGTCATTATTTTGAATTTTAAAAAAAGCATTTCACTGTTACAAAAATAAGTTGAAAGATTTCCTTTTCTCACTAACCATCTTATTTGAGAGATGAAAAAAATCACATGCCCAGGCCCAGCCATGATGGCACAAATAAGAGGTAATGCTGTAAGAGGGCTGAGATTGCATGGGATGCTGGGTTCAGTTCCCCAATCCCAACTAAACAAGCCAGGTACAGTGGCACCTACCTGGACCAACTAGGAGACCGGGGCATGAGGACTGTGATATCGTAAGGCCCTGTAAAAATACTTCTGTCTACTTCTCTCCCTACTCCTGCTCTCTCTCTCTCTCATTAATCACCATCATCATCATCATCTCAAGCCCAGTCAGAGTAATTGATGCATCCTGAGCCACACATATAGGCAAGGGCAGGGCCACAGGCCCAATTTCCCCAGTGTCTCCCCCTGCACCATGCCAGCTCTGCAAAGGTAGTATTATAAACTATGTAAACTGACCATACGTGTTCATATGCATGAAGATGGACTGGATTGTCCTCTATGTCAGAAAGAAATGGATGACTATCAGGCCCCGCGGTTGGTCTGGGCTGGCTGGTTACAATTGATCTAGCAGTGAACCAGGAGAAAAGTCTCAGAAGTGCCTTCCACTGATGTAGTTGGCTCCAAGCACAATGCCTACCAGTTCTGATCTAGATGCCCCTGACTTTGGGGGCTACATGGGGAGGTTCAAGGCCAACAGCAGCTTCTTCCTGGCAGGGCTGACCAGCGTTGTTCTTAGTCTCCTTCTCTGCCCTTCCTGACCCAGGCTCCTCCATGGTTGGGCTTGGCCCACCATTAAAGCCTCTTCTCATTCTCCCTTAACCTTGAACTCACCCTGAATTCATGGGTGATTCTCAGCAAAATTCCACAAATTTAACATTGGGGTTAATGAAATGAATCTGAGTAAAAACAATCTAGTCGTTTTGTGAGAAGAGGGAGAATTTTGTCTTCCCTATGTCCACTGTGTGTTTGTAACTGCTCAAGGGGCTGGCTCATATGGGAGCCATTCTGGTCATCTCAACCACTTATGAATTCCAAAAGTATTCGTGTCTCCCCCCTTTCTATTTTCCTTTAATGATTCTGTAAACTGCCTGGCACATTGAATACTTAGTTTTGATTGCCTTCCCTCTACCTTCTCTGAGAGCAGGAACATAGCTTCTCTTCGTTCTCACCCCAGCACTCTAGCCCGCCTCCTGGCACCATCACCGATACTTCCCAGCACCACTGTGGAAACCCTAGTCTTCCTCACTCCACACTTCCGATCATCACCCTTTCCTAGATCTTTCTTGAGCTTGTCTCTTTGCTTCATCCACCTGCATCACTGTAGCTCAGAGGGCCACCATTTCTGCCAGCACATTCCCCTCTCCAGATTGACTGACAGGTTCCCCCAACCCTGGGGTAGGGCTGGGTCACCAAGCACTCATGTGGGTCACACGCAGAACTCCCCTCTACCTCTACTCTGTGCTCATCCATTCTATTCCGTACATGGATACGGAACACCCCTGCCTGTCGACATGGACCATGCTGGCATAAACAAGGGGCAAAGAAGTAGACCCAGACGGGTCCTCCCAGATTGTACTGACTAATTGGGGTGACCAACAGCAACCAGCTGGACGAAGCCCGCTCTACCTGCAGTTGTGTTAAGCATTATGAAGAAGGGCTGTCCTCTATAGTAGGAGGTCAGGGGTCTGCCACAAGGAGGGGTGTTCAGGCAGAGAAGGACAAAGGGGAGGATTCAGCCAGGTGACGACTGGGAGGAAGACTCGGGCAGAGGAGATGGCACGCACAGAGGCCCTGAGGTGCTCAGGTGTTCTGCCTGTTCGGGGAAGTCCGGATGAGTGAAACATAATGGAAAAGGGGGAGCATGGTGAGAGCTGAGATTGGTGAGAACCTTCCTGGATCTGGGGCAATCCAATGAGGGCTAAGTGTTAGGGACTCGAGGCAGACGGCCTAGGTCCAAATCCAAGTTCTGCCACTCACTAGTCTGTGATTTGAGTCCAGAACTTTATCCTCTCCTGACCTCAGTTTCCTCCTTTGTATGATGATAAGGTATGATAAGAGGTGTCTGGCCGTATAGGGTCGCTGTGGGAACTAAATGAGTTAATGTGTAGAGCATTTGTAACAGCCCTGCCGAATGTGAGCGTAATCCCGCTAGCTGTGGGATTTGAGCAGGCAGGCAATGCAGGCTGTATTGTGCTTTCAAGGCTGGTTGCTGTGGTGTGGAGAACGCTGTTGTGTGGAGCAACAAGGGCAAGAGTGGAGGCTGGAGTCAGTGAAGGGGCTGGTGCAGACCTCCAGATGGGGGGTGGTGGTAACTGAACCAGGGCAGTGATGGGGGAGATGCCAGGACCTGCTGATGGATGTGGTGTGCATGGGGGTTCAGTGGGGGAAATGGACTCAGGTTTGCAGTTTTGAAAAGTGGGAGCAGAGCAAGATTGCATTTTAAAAGAATGTTTATTTATGTATAGAAATGGAATAGTTGCCTAGTGGTTAAGGGAGCTGGATCCCACACAGCCAGTCACATGGTTCAAATCCTGGTCCCTGAGGCCAGCAGGTAGCATGGAGTTAAAGGGCTGGACTCCCACATGATCGACTGCAGATCAAACTGCAGCTTGAAAATCATGCTGAGTGCATGTACGTGCATGCCCAAAATGCCAGGAGAAGAATGGAGAAGAAGAAGGGATTGCAGCATGGTCATCTCCCCAGGGGGTGATTTCTCTTTCACTCTCACTGTCTCTCTCTTTCTCTCTCTGGCAAGTGCATATGCCCCATACCCTATGAGAAAATTAATTAATTAATTAATTTTAAAAAAAACCTTGGGACCAGCAGTTGGCATAATGGCTATGTCACTGGACTCCCATGTAGTTGAACGTGGTTCAAGTCCCAGACCCAGTGGCTTAAACTCACACCAGGCATGTGTACGTGCGTGCCCAAGATCCTGAGAGGAGAATGGAGAAGGGATTGCGGCGTGGCCATCTGCTCTGGGGAGCGATTTCTTGCTTTCTGTCTCTCTGTTTCTCTCTGTTTTTCTAGCAAGCACACATGCCCTATAGCGAAAACCTCTAAAAAAAAAAATTAAAAAAAATCCTGGCCCCTGTGGTTTGGACACCATTCCTAGCACATGTGCATATGTGCTCTAAATTCTAACAGGATGGAGAAATGGTGGAGTAGGGATTGTGGTGTGAGACCATGTCCCACTGGGGGGTGCTTTCTTGCTCTCTCTCTCTGTCCAACTGTCAGATGATTGCATGCACCCTCTGAGAGAAGAAACATTCACTTATTATTTCCATGAATAGAGTGAGAGAGAGATTTTTAAAAAAGAGATAAAATGGTCATTTCCAACAAGGCCTTTTTCTTTTTTGGAGAGGTTTTTGCTATAGGATGCATGCACTCGCCAGAAAGACAGAGAGAGACAGAGAGACAGAAAGCAAGAAATCAACTCCCAGGGGGGATGGCCATACCGCAATCCCTTCTCCTCTATTCTCTTCTTGGGATGTTGGGCACAAACACACACGCGCCTGGCGTGAGTTTAAGCCACCAGGTCTGGGACTTGAACTGTGGTCGACTACATGGGAGTCCAACGACATAGCCATTACGCCAACTGCTGGTCCCACCAACAAGGTCTTGATGCCATAATACACATCCAGCTTCAGTCAGCCCTGGATCATGGTCATACATGTATCGGACATATTCAGGGAAGTCCATGGTTGTAAACACGGAACGTTCCCATGTGCATCAGCCTCAGAGGAGTGTAGCATATTTTTTTTCACTGTGCTGCTGTCTGGCTCCCCAGTTTGTATTTTTTAAAAAAGATTTTTGCCATAGGGCACTTGCACTTGCCAGAGAGAGATAGTGAGAGGGAAAGTAAGAAACCACCACCACCACCACCCCCCCAGAAAAGAAAGCCACTTTGCAATTCCTTCTCCTCTATTATCCTCCGTGATTTTGAGCACACATGCACACATACCTGTCATAATTTTCAAGTTTCCAGGCCTGGGACGTGAACCATGGTCAGCTGTGTGGGAATCCAGCACCTTGAGTATCACACCACATGCTGGCCCCCTCAAAACTGTTATTTTTGAGAAGTTTTTGTTGAGTTACCTGGGGTCACACAGGTAAGGGGACAGAGCTGGGTCCAGATCCAGATTGTTCTGACAATGAGGATACCGTTCTTTCTGCAGCACAAGCCAATTTCCAAAGATTGTGGATCTTTTGGTTAGAGGGACTTGGAGGGTGCCTAATGAGCCCTCTGGCTTCTGGCAGGAGAATTTCCATTTGACACAGGGAATCTGGAGGTTAAGTGGTTTCCTTGGGCCTGCAAGCCAGGAGGTAGTGGGGGGAGTCAGGCAAGGGCCCCCTCCTCCTGCTCCTCAGCAGGTACTCCGTTTCATGCCATGCAGAAACTCTCTGCCCAGAATAGCCCATGAGGCTTCTGAAAGCTCTCCACAGCTGTAGTGATAAACAGCCTGCTTTCTCCCACAGCTTGGGTAGAAAGGATTAAAGGGGGCTGCTCCTCTGACTCCTTGCACAAGGGTACCTTGGTGGTCAGTGCAAATGAACCGTCAACCAACTGGGCTGGCAGGGTGGGAGCTGGGGGGTCCGAACACAGCCCGCTGACCCTATGCTGGTTGGGTGGGTACAGTCAGTTCCTCTCCAGGAGCTGGCAAGGACTGAGAAGCATTCATGTGCAAAGATCCTAACCTAGTTTTCCATTTATAAAATTGAGTATGACCTTCAAATTCATTGTGAGTTTATACAACTGAGGTTCCTGTGAAGTGCAGACAGACTGACCCACGGCTTTCAGCGTGCTGCAGTCCCTCCTCTCCATGCCTGCCTTGCTGCAAAGTGTGTCCTCTCTCCAGGTTGTCATGACAATTTTCACTGGGAAGCTGTTTCTGAAGAGGAGCAGGAAAAGAAAACGAGAAAAAACACTTATTAAAGCCAGGCCTAGTGATGCTAAAGATTTCAATGGTGTTAATACATTTTACAATGGCTTCTCATGAAAAATTGGAATTTCTGTCCTTTCCCAGCTAGCTGCTAGGAACTTTGCTGTTATACGGTGGCAAGGCATTAAGTCCATAATCCATTCTGTTATACTAATTACAGTAATAGAAGTAATAACAATCAGATGTGCGCCTTCAAGTCAGGTCTCCTCTGGAATAATCCATTAAGGAAAATGGGTATAACTATTCAGGCAATAGAGGCACAATGCAATTTTGAGTTTGGTCAGTGTTATACTGAAAACAGTCCCCTTCTCTACACTTTTATCACTGACCATCTGGTCTTAGAGTTTCTCTCTTTCAAGATCTCAACCATCTGTCTAGCATTGTCTCACTAACCCTGGAAAACAACTGTGGAAAAAAAGAAGTAGCTAAAGTGACACCCCCATTTCAAAGACGTCTGTGAGTCTTTCAACAAACGATGAGGAAACCCAGGAGAAGTGACTCTGGCAAATGTGTTCTACTCAAGAGCAGAATTCTGGGTCTCTGGGCAAGCCAAGATGAAAATCACAAACTAGCAAGATTTATGTGTTTCCCTATTTTTCTCTTGTCACTAAAGAAATGCATGTTTATTGTGGTAAATATAAGAAGTACAGAAAATTCCCAAAGTAAAAATTATCAAAAATTCTAATACCTGGTTTAGTTCTAAGACTGAGAAATGATTTAATTTCTTTTTTTTAAGGGAAGACTTTTATTTTATTATTATTTTACTTATTTTAATTTGTAATTTTTTTTGGCATAGGGGAGGCATGTGTTTGCTAGAGACAGAGAGACAATGAGAAAAAAAATAAAAATCACATCCCAGGGGGGATGGCCTTGCCAGTCTCCTCTCCTCCATTCTCCTCTTCGGATTTTGGGCATACATGCACATGTACCTAGAGTGATTCTTAAGCCACCAGGTCTGGGATTTGAACTGCTGTCAGCCATGTGAGAGTCCACCACCTCAACTACTACACTACCTGTTGGCCCTGGATTTAATTTTTAAATGCATCACCTTTGCCACTCAAGTTTGGCAATTGATGTCAAGCAGGTCAGGAGGGAGCCTGAAGGCTGCCTGCAGATCATCTTGGGTAGTTATGTCTTAATAACCACTTCCTATTGGCTGCTGGTCCCTGGAGGGTAGCATCCATGCCCAGCTAGCTTCAAAAACCTCTACCTTGTGTCAAACTGTGTGTTGGGATCCTGAGGTTTGGAATATCATGGGCTTTGGCTCTACAGAACTCAGGAACAAAGTAGAAGCTAGTTCCTTTCCCAAAAGTCTGATCTTTCAATTCACACATCCAACATTTACTGAGACATTGTGAGGATAGAGATATAAAGAATTCAAATCTTTATTAAGGAGCTCACAGACTAGCCTGGGATATAGACACTTGAGTCAATGCAGTAAACAATGCTCAGCAATGTACCTCAAGATAAGCAGATGGAGGTGAGAAAGCATGATTGCCACTGTCTGAGTATATCAACTCCCAATTTCAAGATCAACTATCAGGTAATAAACAATCTTCAATATAGCCCCCAATGATTCTTATAGCCTGTTATTTACACCTTGTGTTATCTCTTCTCACACTATATCAGAGCTGGTCTTTGAGACTAGCAAATACGGTAGAACTGATAATATGTGGTTTCTGAGGCTAGTCATGAGAGACGCTGAGTCTTCCAGCTAGTCCTTGTGGACAACTTATTCCAATAGAAGTCAGTCAGTTTATCTGTGGACTCCTAAACAGCTGTGTGGAGAGGCTCATATGGAGAAGATGGAGGTCTCTCACTAGCAGCCATCATCAACACATCAGTCAGGTAGGTGATCCGCTTTGGGAGAGGAGCCTCCAGTCCCAGTTGGAACTTCTGATGAGACCACAGCCCCAGCCAACATCTGACTACAGCCTTGTGAGAGGTCCTGAATGGGTGCTCCTACCAAACCACTCCTAAATTTCTGCTCCACAGAAACTGTGAAAGGTGTAAATAAATAATGATCATTATTTTTGAGCCACTACATTTTAGGATGACTTGTTATGTGGAGTTAGACAATAAATATAGCATTTCTTATTTCTCTTCTGGAAAGATCCTACTTATGATATATTTATTTTGTGCCACACACTGGACTAAGGGGTTGACATTCATAATCTGAGTTAATCCTCACAACAATAGGTCAGTAATGTCCATGAGTGAGTATCATTTTTGTTTTACTCTAACAGATGAGGATGTGAAGGCATGAAAAGGGAAGGGGTTTGCCTGAGATCAGGTGGATAGAAAGTGACAGGGCCAGTGTATGACTACCTGACCCTGAGGCCCAGGATTTTAATCACAACAATTGTTATACTTTCTCATAAATCTCAATCCAAGAGAGATTTGTTGAGATTTTGCTAAGTGCCAAGCATGCTAGCAGGCCCTGGGGTATGAGACCTTCCCCCGATGCTAGGCAACTGGACTTCAGCAGCAGTAGTGTAGCCAATGACCTCCCTAGTGCAGGTTCAAGTGCACAGCCCCTCTCTCATAGCAGGCCCCAGAATCCACCCTGCCTCCCTTACCCTGGGCTCCAGAATGTTCATTCCTTGAGCTGAGTCTCAGCTGTCCCCAAGACACATCCATAGGCCCTGTTCATGTGAAGAATTTTCTTAGTAATCACTGCTGAGCAACATGCTGGGACAATGAAAATAAGCAACTGTAGAGACATCACAAAGATCACAGAAGCTCTTGATGTTTTGGAGTCCTGGTCCTTCGTGTGACATTTGTTATATACCTCCCATGTGGGAGGCACATCAATGAAAAAGCAAAGATCCCAACCCAGAAGTAGTTTAAATGGGGGTGGAGACAGGAAAGAAATAATAAACTAGATGAAGCAGTATTCTAGAAGGTGAAAAGTGCTAAGGAGTAGGGGAAATGGAGCAGAATACAGGGGTATGCCAGAGAAAAAGAGGTAACAGATAGTGGTATGAATGGATTGGTCAGGGGAGGAGAACTTGTTTGTTTTCTGTTGCTTTAACAGAATGCCTGAGACTGGATAATTATAAAGAACAGTATTTATTAGTGTCTAGAGGCTTGGGAGTTCAAGATTGGGTGGTCATATCTGATTGGCTTCTGGCAAGGGCCTCATGTCATATCATAGAAGCAGAAGGGGAGGTGGGTGTGTGCGCATAAGGGGCAAAACACAAGAGATGGTCTTATTTTGTGACAACCCACTCTTAATGCCACAATGACATTAATCTCCTCAGGAGGGCCTGTCCCTCATGGCCTGGACACCTCCCACTGGGCTTCACGGCTCAACACCACCTCATTGGCAATTTAATTTAACATCAGTGCTGGCAGGGACACGCCACACCCATCCCACAGCAGGAGGCCTTCCGCAAAAAGAGAAAGAGTTGGGAGAGTGGTCAACTGTCCCTGTTTGCCCAGGACAGAGATGTGCGTGCTTCAGTGTGAAAATCTAGCAAACCCGGGGCAGAGATGAGGCAGCTGCTCTGGAAGTTGACCAAGCAGAAGATTGTTCATGGAAACAGCTAGCTCAGTGGTTCTCAACCTGTGTTGGTTTTGGCCCTTGGGGACATTTGGCTACATCTGGAGGCATTTATGGTTGCTTGGTGGAGGGTGGGAGGATGCTACTGGCATCCAAAGAGTAGAGTCCAGGGTGGTGCTAAATCATCTATAATACACAGGGCAGCCTTTCCAGACAAAGAATTCATTGTCTGGTTCCAAATGCCCATAGTGCCAAGTTGAGGTACTGAGCTAGATTCTTGGGGTTCAGCTCCTAATGCAAGTCTGAAACTGAGTTTGCCTCCTGCTTTCCCTTTCTGTTCCTGGGATCACATCTAATGATAAAGGCCTTGTCTCCACTTCTTTCAGAAGGCCCCTCCATTGCCAGTGGTTCTGCACAGTGATGTGAAGTGCCATTCTAGAGAGGCCAGCCAGAGCTCTGTAATGAGTGCTGTCCCTGCTCCCTGGGTCTCTTGCCCCGTCATAATAAGCTGTTTTTCCTAAAGAGGATTTTGTAGGTTCCCTTGGTGCCAGGCCACTCATCAGTCTCTCTAGGAGGCCCGAGGTGTACACTGGATTATCCTTTGCGATAGGCCTGCCTCATCCGTGTTGAAGGGCAGCCCTTCAGCAGAAAATTCTAGAAGAGTCTGTGGGCTCTGGCTTAGGTGAAAGGCTATATTACTCTTTGGATGTATTAGGAATTAGAGAAGTCAAGCTCTCTTTTTAGTCCTGTAGAAAAGAATTTGGGTCATGACCCCCTGGCACCAGGCATTTGAAAATAACCATATTCTCCTGACCCCTACACCCACCCCAGATCTTCATTCACTGTCTTGTGCATCGTCGCACTGCTGTGCTTGACACTCATTCCTCACTGCCTAGAAAATACTGGCCCATCTTAACCGTTGTACCTCTGGCCAATCCTGTCCTCCTTACAGGGAAGGGAAGCCAGCAGTTTAAAAATTCTGACAGCCAGTGTCGGTGGTGCAGTGGTAATGCAGTGCTCCATGATGCTGATGTCACATGGGAAGGTCTGGGCTCGGATTCTGAAGTTTCCCTATAGACATTGGGTCTATGTCTGTGACCCTGACTGGCCGAGGCTGGGTATATTCCAGGGTAGAGACCCCATGAGAGTGCTTGTTTCTCTCTTTCTGTCTTCCACTCTCATGAAAGAAACATTTTTTTAAAAAAAATAACGTGTCCTAAGGGACCAGCAGTTAGCATGATGGCTATGTCGCTGAACTTCCATGTAGTCGACCGTGGTTCGAGTCCTGGACCTGGTGGCTTAAACTCATGCTGGGCACGTGTGCATGTGTGCCCAAGATCCCGAGAGGAGAATGGAGGAGAAGGGATTGTGGCGTGGTCATCCCCCCGGGGGTGGGGGGTGATTTCTTGCTTTCTGTCTCTCTCTGTCTTTCTGGAGAGCACAC